GCCAAGCTCCAGGATTTCAAGTCCTTCCTGCTCAAGGATCCAGAAACAATCCAGAGTCTGACCAACCTCAGGCAGCGGGTGGAGCAGTTTGCCAGGGCCTTCCCTATGCCTGGTTTTCATGAACGCTGAAGGCACCTGGGGTTGAGGCCTGTGGCCTCTGCTTCACCCCCCTGGTCTGCTGGAAGAGAACACCACTTACCTATTTTTTGATGGAGGAGGAAAGTCCACCTAGCCAGACCATTTAGGGCAAGAGCGAAGTACAGTCTCTCTTCCCAGAAATTAGAGCTTTCTTTTTTTTGTAATCAGATTTAGAAGGACCCTCCTCCCCCAGCTTTCTGCCTTCTCTGCCATTATCTCAGTGTTACTTTGGCTCTTTCTTGGGGAGGGGGTTTATCCTGCTGAGCCAGAGAAAGGGGTGGGCAGGCACCCTCCTTCCTGTTTTTATCTAATAAAATGATAACCTGCCCTGAGTTTCTATTATGTGGGAGGGGTCCCCTGGGCCAGCCAGTGATTCTGCGATTTGACTCCCTCAACATTTATTCCTCCTTCTCCTCCCACCACCACCACAAGGACCCCCGGGGCTGCAGCCTCCTCTCTCTGTCTCTGATCAGAGCCGACACCAGACGTGATTAGCAGGCGCAGCAAATTCAATTTGTTAAATGAAATTGTATTTTGCCCACGGCTGCTTCTGTTTGATCCCAGGGGACCAAAGGGAGCAGGGGAGGGGAGGGGGGAGCGGCAGGGGGAGGCCCAGGTGCTCTATGCTGTGGGTAGGGGAGACAGCAGGCTTGGGCAGAGGAGGAGCTGCTGCTTGGCATGGGTGCCCATCCTGGGCAGGCTAGGCAGCCAGAGACGATCTAGTTGAGCCTGAACAACACTGCCCCAGGCCTAGCACTTTCCAAGCTCAGGCAGACGTGGGACTCGCCACGTCCTCACTTGGCACCCAGAGGCCCTGCTTGCTGTTGGCTCACGTAGACCACGCTCAACACGTATGCTGTGCCACACCCTGCAAGTGAAGGGATTGAGTAGAGGGGCTGGTTGGGCCGTTTGGGCCAAGGACCCAGCAGCTGCTGCTGTCCTGATTCTCCTCCCCCACGTGGGACTGAAGCCAAGGGTCAGAGTTGCTTCCGCTGCTGGGATCAAGGGAGGATTGTAGGGGTGGAGCTGCCTCCCCTCTTCGTGGGAACCCGGCCTGTGTAAGCAAAGAGCTGGACAAGGTGACTAGGCAGACACCCTGCGGTCTGGGAGTGGATGGGAAGAAGTGAGTGATGGGTTTACATGCAACTAGCAGCCCAGCCTGGTTTAGAAGTCTGGCCGATCCTTCTTCAGCTTCTTATAATCAGTGGTAATTGCAAGGAACTAAAAGGAGAGGAAAAGAGAGGTTGTAAACCCCCTTTACTCCCAGTACTGGAGGAGCAAGTTTGGAGAGCAGGAGGTTAGTGGAAGGGGAAGCAACCCAGCACCATGGGGATGTACCTTGTATTGGTCATTGGGTCTCAGGTGATTCCAGGGCTCTGGGTTGTTCTTGTGGTCCCAGCTGTGGAGGAGAAGGGAGGGTTAGTGTCTCCTGTCTGGAAGCCAGGACTTCAGCTGAAGGTGTTCCTCTGAGTTCCAGGCAGGGTCTCTGTCCCTATCCTAGTACGTCCACCCCTATCTCCTACTCTGAGGAGGTCCCATTGACTAGAGACAGATGGGGAGGGGGCACGTTAGCCGGTGTTGACAAGTGAGACAAGAGGCTTGTCACTGTTGTCAGTGTAGAGCTTGGTGACAGAATGACAATCCAGCCTTGGAACTCCCTCCTGCCCACTGCCACCCTACGTTAACCCCTCAAAGCAGAGTCCTGGGGATCTAGAGATCCTGATGAGTAGGAATTCCAGTAAATTCCTGCATGGTAGTAGGTGAGAGCTCTTTTTGGTTATTTAAGGCTCCTCACCCCCATGTCCCCTCCAGCAGAAAATAAAATTTCAGGTGTTACTTGGAAGCCCCAATAGAACCCCCCTGTAGTTTACCCAGCCACACCCTCAGTGCCCCTGCATGGACAAGCCAAAAGCCTGAAGCAGCAGGTAGAGCTATGTCACCATAGCAACCAGGGCAGGAGCTGTGTGGGTTCCAAGGCCTGGAACCCAGAAAGTCACCAGCCACCAGAAGATAAAGTGGCCAGTTTTGTCCAAGATGAAAAGGGAGGCCTCCCAGGTAAGAGTTAGGCCCAGCCCTGAAATGTCAGGTGGTCCTATGGGAGGTACACAGTCTAGGCAATGCACCAAGACCACCCATTCCCACCATTCCTAAAAGGTCCATCCCTTCCCTCTTCTCTTTGCCCCATAGAGAACCCCTGCCTTCATCCCCAAACCAGCCTTTACCAGACGTCAGGGCTGCGCAGGGCAAGCCGCAGCAAGTAGAGAGCAGCACTGCCCATGCCAAGGCCGATGAAGCCGATCATTGGAATGAGCTGTAGGGGAAGTCAGAGGGCATTTTCAGGGCCAGCCCCCTCTGTCCAGTTCCCAGTTGCTCTTACCAGCTTCCTTGCCCCAATTCCACCCAAGGTCTAATCCTCCCTCTCCAGGAACAGAGGACCTGAACCTCCCACAACCATATTTCTGGTCTCCCTTATCTTACAGCAATCCTAGGACCCAGGGATTTGGGAAGCATTGCAGGAATAGCTTGAGGGGTCCCTAAGGACATTGAGAACCTTGGAGAAACTGGACGGGGCGGGTCAGGGATCTAGAGGTCTTGGGGAGTTGGGGGTGGGACAGCAGAAAGTCCGGAGTTAGATTCCCAGCCGCTAAAGCACTGAACTTACCCCAGGATGTTTTTTGATCTGCCGATAAAAGCGGGCCCCTAGACTGGTTCCTGCCATATCTCCTCTTTCCCTCCAATGTCTCCTCTCCAGTGCCTCACTCTAGTCCTCCTCCAGGGACCCCGCCCCCCACTGGGGAGGGGTCAGCCTGGCCCAGTCTGCCCGCCTCTTCAGACTCACCCCACCCAACTCAGTTTGTTTCCCTGGCAGTTTCAGGCTTGAAGCAGAGAAATTGATGGGGGAAGCCAGAGATTTCTGCTCCTACCTCTCTCCTCCAGATGGCTGTTCCCTGGCCTGTGCAACTTCATCATATTTGGGGCTTTGGGTGTCAGAGGGAGGGGACTCAGGCATCAAAGGCTGATTGAAGAGGAATCTAGATGTGGGACTGGCAAGTAGATAGATCTCAAGCAAAATGTGTGCTTGCGTGCGTGCGTGCGTGCATGCGTGTGTGTAGTGTTTACAGACGGGTCTGCGGCAGTGAGGGCAACTGCAGCCTCTTCCTGACACCCTGAGAGCCACCCAGGAGCTACAAGGTCCTAAGAACCCTGGTTTTTTGAGTTTACAGTGTAGTAAGAGGAAGGGACGGACAGATATCACTAAAGATAACCACCCAACCCAACTCCTCCCAGCCTAGGTGATCTCTCCAAACTGTGGTTGGCCTGGAGCAATAGTGATTGGGGGCTGGAGAAACCAGATGTATCTGACCAGGACAGAGGGTAGAGACATGAGTTATGGGTGTTGGGAGGCTTAAGAGGCTTGAATGTGCTTGCCTGCTTGGAGTAGGAGTGAAGGTGGGATTCCCCCTTGGAAGCCATTCTGTCCCTTCTGGCTGTGGAACTAGGGAAGAGAACAGAGTGAAGCAATAGTCAAACAGACATAGAAAAGATGTTGAAGTAGGAAAGACATGCAGAAACAGAACTGTAAGGGCTGGGGAGATGACTCAGTGGAATAACAACTTCTCTGGCAAGCACAAGGGCCTGAGTTCAATCCCCGGTTCCGGAAAAAAAAAAGAAACTGTGGAGCTATTGCGTAGTTCCTCAGCCAATTCAGTTATATGCTGGCCTGCCAGGGTGGGAATGCTCCCCCCACTCTTTGGGGAATTGGGATTTTTTTTCTTCTTCTTTTTTTTAATACTTAGGATTGAACACAGGACTTTGTGCTTGCCAGACAGGTCCTTATGCTGCTGAGCTATCTCCTTGGCAGAGGAATTGCGCCCTTGTCCTCTCTCCCACAGTAATCTCCAACACCCCTCCTGCCTCTGCCTTGGGTCCTCCAGAGCTCCCACCCTATAGCAGGGGTGAGCTATGCACCCGCTGCTAGGCCCCTCGGGGTACAAGGAAGGAGAAGGCCACTCCTGGGGGCCCCCTCCTTTTCTTGCACACTGTCGCCTCCCCCCCCACCCCCCGCCCCCTGCGCTGACAAGCCGGCTGTAATTAGGCTGCGGGGTCCCCAGCTCTCCGCCTCCCTCCGGCTGATAATGAGATAAAGTGTCAGAGACACGGCGAGAACAAAGAGACAGAGACTCGCTGCGATGTGTGTGCGGGGAGGTGGGGGGGGGGGCTGACAGGATGTCAGAGCTTCAAGCGGCACGGATCCCTGCCTGAGCGCCTGCACCTCCAAGGCTGGGCCTCAGTGTGCGTGGGGGGGGCTGTCCTGTCGCCATGCCCCCGGCCTTCAAGTCTCCTGTACTAAAATCAGTCCCAGAGCTCGAAGCTTGAGCGGGCGCCCAGCTGGGCTGCACATCTGGCACTCTGAGGCACAGCTGCAGAGCCCAGGCCCCGGGGGATGCCTGGCCCTTGAGCCGTGCCTCTTGGCTCCCAGGCACCCCCTCGCTTCCCTCCGCCCCCTTTTCTGTGTTCTAGTGAACTGCGCCTGGCATGACCCAGATCTTCCTTCCTGCTTCTTTCTCAGAACTGCTTACTATTCTTCCTCCTGTATTGGGCTTGAGGCCTGCTCTCTGAGCTCCAATATCACATTATTCTGCTCCTTCCCCTCCGTGAGTCCTGAACCCTTTATTAGCTTCTGCCCTGCGTGTTTGCCTTTCTGTTTCTAAATTCCCTTCTCTCTTTGGTTCCCATTCCTGGATCTTGGTCTCTGGGGCCCAGCTGAACACTGTAGAACTCGGTAGGTTCCAGATCCCACTTTTCCCTTCTCTGGATTTTCCTACCACAATGAATAAGGCCACCGTGGTCCAGTGGGGTAAGGGATTACATGCGACCAGGGTTCCAGCCCGGCCTGCACTGTGAACTCTAAACCGCACCAGGATACTAAACGCTGCATGTGGCGACGCGGTCCAGGGCAGGTGGACTCGAAGAAGCAAGCGGTGGCCGCAAGGGCGGTGGGCAGGGCGCCCCCTGGAGGCTGAGAGGCTCCTAAACTCGGGAAGAGGCCTTGGGCTCCCCCTGTCGGGTAGTGTCGGCCCTGCACTCCCAGACTCCGCCAGGTAAATCCGCGCCTCTTGTGGAGGTTCCTTGCCGCCAGGGTACTGAGGCTACTCGCGTCACCAAGGCCTTGGGGTCCCTCAGCCTCCACTCTTCGGGTGTGCGGTGGGGCCAGAAGGTGCAGAGGCGACTCGAAAGGCTCCGTCTTGCCGCTGTCGGCTTCATCTCAGGTTCAGGTTGCTCACTTTCTTCAGGTTGGCCTCAGACTCCTGCAGCTACATCTCAGCTTTGAGGCTGTAGATTAGAGACTCCCCTCGGCCCTCTGACTTGGCCTGCCCTAGCCTTTGGCTGCCTCTCTTTTGCCTCATCTTCGGGCTCTGTCTTTTTAGGTATGTGTATGTCCTGTTCTGGCTGTCTCTTCGCTGTCTCTACCTTGCTTTGTCCTGTCCTGTTTCTGTCTCTCCATCTCTCTCCATCTCCAGCTCCCTGTCTTTGGAAACTCCCTTCTCTGTCTCCCCCTACCGCTCACCATCTCGTTCTCCAGCTCTTCCTATTCTCTGGCTTGCTGCCCCTGGGGGGCTGCACCAGTCCAGCTGGACAGCCTAGGGACACCTTGCGGCACCGTTCAGGGTCCCCCTCCCGGTCACCTCCACACGTTCTTCACCTCTGCACGGCCTTGGTCTTCATGCTGCTGCAGCTGTAGGGTGTGAAAGGGATACCTGGGGGAGGGAAGCCACCGTGCCCAGCATCTGCTCTGGAGCCTCGCGGCCTCCGATCCCTTCCGCCACTATTAAGGGCGCCAGGTCCCGAGGCTGAGATGATCATGATTGCATCAGCCAGACTGAAGAGGAGCTGGGAGCCTCGCAGCGTGCAGGAGAGCAAGTGAGCAAGCGAGCGAGACAAAGACGCCCGCGCCATCTGTTTATGCAAAATGCTCTCCGCCAGGGAGCCGGGTGTCCCGGTGCCTGGCCCAGTTCAGGGCACAGGGTCATGAGCCCGCTCCCCCCTGGCATCCCAGGTGAGCCTGGGCTTCCCTCCTCCGAAGCACCCAGAGGGGCCATGGGGCGAGAGGAATGGGGAGGGGGTAGGGGTGTTGATGTGATTGGAGCGGACGCGGCTGTTTCTTCAATAATGGATGGAGATGATGCGGACGGCGGAGCCAGCCGGCCAGGAGAGGAGAGAGGAATAGAAATAGGGAGAGGAGGTGGGGGCGGGAGACTCACCCAGCCGCTCCCACTTGCTCAGGCACACGAACACGAAAGCAAGCAAGCAAGCACGCGTGCACGCACAAACACACACACACACACACACACACACACTTGCGTCACGCTGTCATTTGGGTACACGTCGCTGTGCGGCTCACACCCAGGCACACATCTACGCACTGTCACCGAGACACACACACCTACAGGCAGAGATACCAGAGCCACACACAGTCACTAGTAGGTCTTTTGGATTTTCACACATACTGTCCAGGAGGCAGATACTTGGAGATGCCTGAACTGGGCACTTAGGCATGACTAACCTGGCACAGACACGTAGACACACCAAAACCATATGGACATCCAAACACCTAGACACCCTGGAGCATAAAAATCACAGAGATGAGTGTGGGCAGCAAGTGGACAAACCTCAACAATACTGACAGGTTTAGGGGAACTGTTACGTAGTAAGGGCAAAGACACAGACATACACCTGGGGCTCAGATACATTTGTACTCCCAGAGCACAAACACACCACATATCAGGGGTCTAGATCCCCACTAGACACACCCAGTTGAGCCTCCCACCGTTCCTATGAAGGAGCTGCCATCTGTGTCCTCCAGGGTGGAGTGCAGCTGAGGTCACCGGTGCAGCCTGAGCAGGCCTTGTTAGACTCACAGTGTAACAAGGTGGTGGTGACAGGAGGTGCCTGGGGCTGTGGATCCAGAGCCCTGTGGTCTCCCTTGATTGTCTGCAGGCTACTACCTTCCCTCATCCTCAAGACAGGCTGCTGGGGACCCAGCTTGAAGCATTTGGGGATGAGGGAGCAAAGGGATGGCACATTGACGGCATTGTTTGCTGAGAAATGCCCAGGATCCTCAACTGACTAGCAAGAGAGTTGAAGAAAGAATGCTGTACTCACCTCATTTCCCATGCTAAGCTTTTATTTTTATTTTATTTATTTATTTATTTATTTATTTAGGTGGAACTGGGGATTGAACTCAGACCCTTGGGTTGCCAGGGAAGCACTTGTTCTACTGAGCCCTTGAGTTGCTGGGGAAGCACTTGTTCTACTGAGCCATCTCCCCGGCCCTATTTTATTTTATTTTATTTTATTTTTAAGACAGAGTCTGCTAGTGTGGCCTAGGCTGGCCTCAAACTCTCCCTCCTCCTGCTTCAGCCTCCCAAGGAAGAGATGCTGGGATTACAGGCATGAGCCACCACACCCAATTTTTTTTTTTTTTTTTTTTGAGTGGAATGGACTGTGCAGATGGGTGGGATGCAGGTGGAGTCCTGGACCCTAGTACCCAGGCTTTTCTATGATCTATTTTCAATTCAGTCTGCTCCTTGGCCCAGACTTATGACCTTTGTAGTATGCAGCTGCATCATCCATCACCCAGGCGGCTGCTGTGGGAGTGGGAGGCAGTGGGGACTCAAATAAGGTCGCTGTCATGACTGCGGCTGTCTCTCGGGATTTGCTTCCCAGTCTGAGGGCCAGGGCTCCACTAGCTTGAAGAGTACTGAGAGGAAGGGCATGACCATGGAGTTTCATCATGGAACTGTGCCCTCTGTCCCCACCGCTGGAGCCCTAGCACCCCTCCTGTGAGCTCAGCACAGCCTGTCTCCCCGTTCCTCCCGCCCCTCTTCTCTCGGGCCTTTTGCTTAATTTCCTATTAACTGCTGATAAATCCAATTAAACCGCCGCTCTAATTAGGGACAGCTGCCGGCTGGGTAAGGAGAGGGAGGGGGCGCCCCCCGAGTGTAGGGGAAGAACAGCCGCTCTCTCTGCTCCTCGACACCCCCACACCAGCGTCACCGCCCAATGAGCCAGTAAATTGGTTTTGTTTCAGCAATGTGTGTGGGGGTCTCCAAGATCTTGGGGAGGGGCCTTCAGTTTTGAGTTCTTCAGATCACTTGATGAATAGGAGCAATCCAAGCCCTGAGCTGTCCCTCATGGTAGGTAGATCAGAGGAAAAATGGGGGCAAATGTTCACTTGTGTGACTGGGATGTGTGCATGTGTCTGTGATTGTGATTAAAGGATAGCTGCTTAAATCTTCCTGTATGACCCTGCTAATGCCCCCAGGCATTTGGGGCAGTCAAGGGCAAAGGGAACAAGAGACTGAACCGGATTCTGTGGCGAGTATTCTTGTGTGCCTCCCTACCCCCCTTCGCACTTCAGTCTTCTTTAAGGAAGGGGCGGGGGAGCGCGCCTGTCCCGGGCCCTCCTCTTCCCTAGCCCAGCTGAGCCTCTGCTCTCCCCCTTTCCCTCCAGCAGCAGATGGTGCCCAGGCTCCTGCTGCCAACCTTGCTAGGCGGTGCCAGCCTCAGTCCTGGCAGACAACGGGGTGGCAGGAAGAAGAGCTTCTGGCTGGCCAGGCTGACCCTCCCCCACCCATCATCAAGCTCAAGCCCCTCTGCCTGCCCCACTTTAGCGACCACCCCAGGCTCTTACTGGTCTTCTCCCAGGTCCCCAAACTCCTCATCTCGTTCTGCTCCCTTCACCATACCTTCCCGCTCCACGCCACCTGCCGCCCTGACCAGGGCCGTCACATTTGCATATTTGCATATGCAAATAAAAATATTTGCATACGGCGCACCACAGGGGGGCTCTCCGCCAAAGCCGGTTAGCTGTCTGCCCTATGTCCTCTTGCTTGGTACCTGTCGGAAAGGGCTGGGGCAGGGGCCGCGCAGGAGGGGCTAATAACCCCCCCCAGCTCAGTTCCCCGAGGGCTTGAGGAAGTGTTGCCATGGAGACGGCACGCACCCCACCCCCTTCCAAGGCCTAGGGTCTCGGGCTTGGTGTCTCTAGTTCTCTCCCCTTATCCATCTCCCTCCCGCCCCTGCCCATTGCTCGATCTCCAACTGAGATCTTGCATCGCCCCCTGGCGGCCCAGCTCGGCGCCGAGCCAAGCTCCAAAAACGAAAGGGTGGCCCCACCACGAATTAGCCAAGAGCTACAGGGATCTACCCTGTTACAAGATCCTGCTCCCAGGTGCAGGGCCAGTGGAGTGTCAGCTCTAGTCGGGTTCACCCTTTTTCTTTGCTAGAAGTCTCGTCAGACGAATGCAACCGGTCTTGGTTACCCAATAGTAGTGCGGTGGGGGCAGATGGAAAGCATTTTTCACTCCTGCCACCAGCCTCCCAGCCCCCTTTCTCCTGGTCTCCAGTGAAAGAACAAACTTCTAATACTTTTGTCAAAACTTTTAATAAATTTGCAACATTCGACGGTGTGTCCCTGAGACACTCTTCGGCGCCTCTTGCTGGAGAAACTTTTTTTCCAGCTCTTGCAGGTTGGACTCGAAGGGTCTCCGGTGAAGGCTGCTCTAGGCACCAGGTATCTGAGGCCACAGGCCGCGAGAGGGAGGCGGGAACCAGTCCCTTCCCAGAAACTCCGCCTAGCTTTGGCCGGCCTTTCCCAAGCAGCAATTTAGTTTCTTTCACCCTCTTTCCTCCCCAACCTCCACTGGGCCCGCCCAGAACGGGGGATGGGGGATGGGTGTCTCCTGCCTGCAGGTGCCCCCAGCCTAAATCTCCTCCAGGAAGTCAGTGGGGAACAGCCCCACCTTGCGGCCAGTGTAGACCTTGACGTAGCCGCCAGCTTCATCTCCTTTCTGCACCACGATCTAGGGCAGTGATAGGGAACCTTTTAGAAATTGAGCGCCCAAATTGCAACCCCAAACCCACCTATTTATCACCAAGTGCCGACGCTGCAATTAAACCTGAATACTTAGATTTTTGCTTTAGAAAAAACTTTTCCGATATTCGGCTCCTGGGACGATTTGGCTGTCATGTCCACAGAGAAGACTCTATGAGCCCACCGTGGCATGGGTGCCATAGGTTCGGTACCACTGATCTAAGGTTAAGGGATTAGGGAGTAGGAGAGGAACTGGGAAAGTCAGAAGAATAGGGAAAGCTGAGGTTACACAGACTCGCCCTAGACTCATTAATGGGTCAAAATCTCTAAGAGGTATGGCTGGCCGAAGAGCACTGATGCCTGAGTATCCATTTGGATTGGGCACCAGAGCTACCTGGTCCTTCTTGAGAGTGATCTGTCCTATCTCGCGGTTCCCCACGAAGGATCTTGTTACACGATGCACACGTTCTCCAGCCCGGACCCGAATGATGAAGTTTGGTGGGAAAAATCCAACCTTCTCCCCAATCTTCCCCTAGGGAAGTAGGGAGAATCATTCTCACTCTCAGGTCCTAGACTCAACCCGTAACTGGCCATTCCTGGCCATTTCTCTTACCCGCCACCACTCCTCATTGGAGTCATCAATGACAGTGATCTTCTCTCCTGGCCTGGGAGAGGAAGGGAGGGGTCTCAGTTACATGACAGTCCATGGCTGTATTCTGGTCCAGCCCCATATGCTCCAAGCTTGGAGTTCCCCTTTCCCTTTCCAATATGGAGCCCAGCCCTCCCCCCCCCCCAAGTCTCTCACGGGAAATCCAGATCGTCCTTCTCCAGGGCTTTGAACCGATAGAGAGCCACAAAGTAATGAGACTGCTGGAAGCCAGGTTGCTTGTGCTGGGGGTGAAAGCAGGTGATGAGTTTTAGCACTCCTTTTCCCACAGGGAGAGCCTTCTCCAGGCACTATAATACCCCAACTCTTGTTTAGGTCCCTGAGCTGAAAGGAGGCTGCTAGGTGTGTGTAACGTGAAGGAGAGGGTGGAAGAACGTGATGGGGACTTGGTTGAGCTGATTATTGGCATCAGACCTGGGGTTGGAGAGAGGACTGGGGTCCATGCATGGAGAAAGGATTCTCACTTTGTCATCAGGAGTCTTCTTCTCAGCCTTCTTGTTCCCTTCAGAGTTTCCTAGGATGGGAAACATGGATACATTGACTCTGCTTCTGACAGCAGACCTCATTCTTTTGCCCTTGTGTTGCAGGGTCTCCTTTGTCTCCAAACCTGGGCTGTCCTTTACCACCCCAGCTGAGCCCCTGACCCTATCTCATCTCTATGGATGAAGGTAGGTGACACTCACCATCTTGGGCTTTGCCTTCCTCTGGCTTGGCTGAGTCTGGCTCCTCCTCCATCATGGCTGCTAGAGGCTAAATGGGCATTAGAGTTAGGGAGACACTGTCTTGCTTAGCCTGGTTCTCTAGGCAGGCCAGAGAACTATAAAATAATAGGATCTCAGGTTGGAAGGAGCCTTGGGAAAAATTTCTAGCCCTAATGCAGAAAGTTCTTCTGAATATTCTGGCAGGTTAAGTTACCTACATTATGCTTGAATGTAATAGAAGTTTACTACCTTATAAAGTAACCCTATGGTTGGGGATTAGCTCAGTGGTAGGACTCAAGCATGAAAAAGGCCGTATGTTTGATCTCTAGTACCACAAAGAAAAAATAACTCTGTGCAATCTGGTAGTAATTCCTTATATTAAACCTATGTTGGTCTTCCTTAATCTGTAATTTTTTATAATTTTTATTTTTTGGCAGAACCAGGGATGGTACTCAGGCCCTTGCGCTTGCCAGGTAAGTGCTTATTCTACTGAGCTATCTCCCCAGCCCCTATAATCTCTAATTACTGGTTTTGATTTGCTCTGGAATTATAAATGTGTAAATATATAAATGTCCTCCTAAATATCTGAGGACAGCTGACATATCCTTTCTGGCTTTTCTTCTCTTATTACTTGCAGTCCCTCCTGGTGTGGTGGCATATGCCTATAATCCCAGCACTTGGGAGGATGAGGCAGGAGGATCTTTGCCAGTTTGAGATCAGCATGGGCTACAAAGTGAGTTCAAGGTCAGCCTAAACTACATAGTGAGACCCTGTCTAAAAAAAAAAAAAAAAAAACCCAAAAAACAAAATCAAGCAATACCCTCTTGAAGTTTTTTTCAGTCCCTTCAAGTCCCACCCATGATCCAGATTCCAAGTTCTTTTTTTTTTTTTTTTTTCCAACAGTCTCACTGTGTAGTCCAAGCTGGCCCTTGGTTTGGTGGCAATCTTTCTGCCTCAGGCTCCTGAGGGCTGGGATTATAGGTGTGCACCATCATGCTAGGTTTCCAGGTCCTTATGCTGTCAGTTCTTAAAAAATACTACAATGTTCAAGAGAAAAATGGGCAACACAGTTTTTATAATTCCCTTAAAGAGAACAGAACCTGAATGTATCAGCCTTTCTGGAAGCAGCCAAGTCACACTGTTTTGGTTTTTTTTTTTCAGAACCGGGGATTGAACTCAGGCCCTTGTGCTTGCTAGGGAGGTGCTTATTCCATTGAGCCATCTTCCTGGCCCCTCTTTTGTTTTTTTTGTTTTTGTTTGCAGAACCAGGGATTGAACTCAGACCTTGCGCTTTCCAGGCAAGTGCTTATTCTACTGAGCTATCTCCCCAGCCTCAATTGTAAAACACAGTCCACGCCACAGAAATTTCCTATATGTACACAATTTCTTATCAACTACAATGAGTCCAGATCTCTAGCTGTTTTTGTGTAGTTGACTTTTTTTTTTTGAGGAACCAGGGATTGAACTCAGATCCTTGCATTTGCCAGTCAATTGTTTATGCTACTGAGCCATCTCCCCGGCCCCGACTTTTTTTTTTTTTTTTAAATGGTGGTATTATTGTTGAGTGAACGTAGGGCCTTGCAAATGCTAGATACTATTCCAATACTGGGTATCATCCCTAGCCCTTTTTTGTTGTTGTTGTTCTGTATTTTAGGGAAGGGTCTACAGGATGTTCAGGGTCTCACTACTAGATCAGACTCCTAGTGATTCTCCTGTGTACAGCCTTCCAAGTCCTGGGATTACATGCATATGCCATCATACCCAGTCTCAATTGCCATCTCAGTGCCCCCCGGGGACAGGGCCGTCATGAGAGGCCCAGGGTTCAATCCCTGCTTGCAGGTGCTTTAATCTGCTGAGCTATTTGGCCAGCTCTTTATTTTTTTAAAATTTTTTTCCCCATAATTTTATTGATAAACAAATAGCAATGAGACAGTCGCAAATCAAATCGGTAGGACAGTTTCAATAATTAACACACTGCATACATTCTTCCTAGTGGTTAATTGCTGTACAAGAATCATTCTATTCATTAAGAGTATGTAACTATATATCTATCCAAACCACTTTGAATACACAGATACAATCGTCTGTATACCTTTTTTTTTGTTATTCTGTTATTTGAATATTATAGGTGTGTAAACTCAGCAAAATATTCCAAAAGAGTCCAGTAGCCCATAATAGCATTGGGTCTTCCACTTGACTGGCAATGTCAGAAATTGTTGACCTGAGTCCCCTACAGGTCAACATAACAGCATGGCTTTACTTCTTATATTTCATTTTTATACTTTTCTGCTGGATGGCCAAGACCAAGGTAAAGCAGGACCTATGCAACAAGAGTTGTAGCTTTTGGGTCTGATAAGGTCAGTGAAATCCCCTCAGGATTTATCCTGACATCCTGTACCTCAGATTGTAGATCCTTTGTCAGTGTCAACCATGTGGATGAGTCACGGCCATTGCTTGGCCAATGCGCTCTCTGTGAAAGCCTGACAGAATGTTTTCTCTCCATGTGACTCTCCTTAGGCACACTCTACATCATTGATCACTTTCCTCTTTGGCCCCATAATCTCCTTGATCAGAAAATTTGGGACACTGCCGAGTTACATGATGTTACAGTAGAAGTTCTCATATGTCCTGAGTCTTAATTGACCTTAGAAGGCTAGGGCCAACATGTTGGCTTTCTTTGCAGCCCTCCTTTCTCTCTAATTTTGGTCTGCAAACTTAGGTTGTTAACCATCCAGAAGACAAGCTTATTGTTATTACCATACAACTTAGGCTGTTAAGCTTAACCTCACTATCTGTCTGCATATCAAACATTTTAGGCATTAAACTTTATTTTTAAATAAGAGTACTGGTAGGTTGTCCATAGTGGGCTCAGACCTCTGAGTAGTTGAGATTAGAAATGTGTGCCAACACACCTGGTGATTTTTTTAAGCCAAGAACTGCTAAGTACACTTCATGAAATTTCTAATTATTGGTTTTGGTTTTTTTTTCTAGTTAACATTTTAAAATATTCAATGTAAGGGCTGGTGAGACAGCTCAGTGGATTAATGTACCTGCTTAAGCAAGCTTAGGCAAGCACAGGGACCATAGTTTGATCCTTGGGCACCACATACAGTGCCAGCCCCATCCCCAGGGAAGGCTGAGCCAGCCAGCACAGTGGCGCACGCCTGTGATCTCAGCTCTGAGGAGGCTGAAAGCAGGAGGATCACCATGAGTCCAAGCTGTACAGTGAGACCCTGCAACAACCAAATACATAAAATAAATATATTAATTAAAATAAAATATTCAATGTATAAGTTTTCCCTCCTAGGGTAGTGGAATGGGAAAAAAAAAACCCAAGTTATGTCACTAACATGTACAGATTCTCTATGAAGAATGTGATAGTTATGTGTATCTAAAATGTATCGATAAAAAAAGAATGATAAAAGAGGCCAGGGAGATGGCTCAGCAGAATAAGTGCTTCCCTGGCAAGCGCAAGGGCCTGAATTCAATCTCCGGTTCTGCCAAAAATAAATAAATGAATAAATAAATAAATAAATAAATACAAAGAAAGGAAGAAAGAAAGAAAGAAAGAAAGAAAGAAAGAAAGAAAGAAAGATGTTCTCTGTAGAGAGAAGTTCATGTAATCCCAGCTCTTGGGAGGCTGTAAACAGGTGGATTACTTGAGTCCAATCTAGTAGTGAGACCCTTCCCTAAAAATAAAAATAAATAAATAAAATGTATCAATAAAATCTAATTTTAAAAATAAGTTTTCTGGGCCGGGGATATGGCTCAGTAGAGTAAGCACTTCCCTGGCAAGCACAAGGGCCTGAGTTCAATCCCCGGTTCCACAAAAAAAAAAAAAAAAAGTTTTCTTTCCTAGCTTTCCCAGGGTGGTAGCACCTCAATTTGCATTTGAACTGAGCAGAACAAAAGGCAGAAGTTTATGGATAATTCTCAGAATAGTGATTCTAAGTTCATTCCCAACCTTCAAGAAACTTGCCAAGGTTGCCTTCCAACACATGTAATACTCTGCCTAGGAGTTCTGGTAAATATCACAATGGTGTTTTTAAATCCCTGATTGAAACCTGGACCTTTGCACTTAGCTACATCTCTCCTGCTTGCTAGCTTTCATTTGGTACAGGATCTCACTCGCAGCTTGGAACTGTAGTGATAACTGTTTTCAGACTCCCAGTGCTGGGATTACAGGCATGTGCCACCACTCCTGGTCTCAGTGGCCAGTTTAGTGCCCCTGAGACAGGGCTCACATGGCATGCAGTACCAGGGACTGAACCAAGGTCCCAGTGCTTGCCAAGTAGGCACTTAGAACGCTGAGCTATCTTGCTGGCCCTTTCTTTTTTGAGATATTCTGCCAAACTGCCTGGCCTGGATTTGAACTTGTGATCTTCCTGCCTCTGTCTTCCAGGGTGCTGGGAATGTGTGAGCCATTATGCCTATATACCATTTATACCTTCATTTGTATTAGGAAAAAAGGCCCCAGATGAGGACTCTGAACCAAATCCTGTTATAAGGCATCAGAAATCAGACACTCCCAACAAACCAAAACTATTTGGGTACTGCCAGACACTTAATTTTAGGAAATGATTTAATTATAATCATCTATGTTAGGTGTTCCAGAAAGATATCAATTCCTTGTTGAACTGAACCCAAATCTATGGCACTACTGACCAGTAACTCTATTATAAAAGGAAATGAGGTTGCTGTTGGGCAGTGGCTTTATGCCTGAGTTTCCTTATAAGATGCTAGTATCAGACTAGATGATCTTCATGGACACTTGCAGGGCTCTAGAATTCTCATTACTTGGCATGTCAAATTATCTCCTCCAAATCCAGAACATAACTCTTGTTTCTCTCATCTAGCAATGCCAAGGGCCTGAGGCCTAGCCATTTATGGTAGTTAACTTTATAATTTCAGAAGGGAATTGAGGGCAGTTGTTCTTAACCTGAGATCCATGGTAGCTGGAACAGGTGGAAAGAGCTCTCTGAAATTGCATGCAAAAATAAGCCTGTTGGATTATGTGCTATTCTGGGGGGAAGAAGATCCATAGTATCGGTCTGTTTTCCAAAGGACAAATAACCTGCCCCCATAGAATTGGGCAGGGCTCAGTGGGGATATACAGTGCTCACATTTTTCTTATCTGCCTGTCCCTTCTTCCGTTCCTTGTTTGCCATGATCACCCCAGTACGCAGGGTTTCAAACACAGGGTCATTTCGATTAGCAGCAGCTAATGGAATGGGAGGAGAAACAAGACATTATTTATATTATAGAGAAGACTGAAGGAAAGAGACCTGAAGAAGGGAGAGGTGGACTAGATACTCAGAAGTATATGTGGGTGGGGTAGGGATGAAGAAAGGATTAGGAAAGACTGTGCTCAATAATGCCTAGGTTATTAGTTGATAGAGTTTAAAACACCATTGTGATATTTACCAGAACTCCTAGGCAGACTATTACATATGTTGGAAGACAACCTTGGCAAGTTTCTTAGGGGTTGGGGACAGGCTAGGAATCACTATCTGAAAGAGAATCGTCTCTTAACCACTGGCTTCTGTTTTGCTAAGTTGCATATACAAATTAGGGAGCTATCAAGAGATTCTCTTCACTCATGTTTCTCACAAAAACATGGCCTCTCTTTATAAATGCTGGTTTGAACTAATTGTCAGTGAATATAGTTTTAAGGGTTGCCAAGTTAGGAACTTGCCCACAATGTCCACAGCCTTGGTCTGCCGCTGAGTCTGTCAACTGTCTGTATCAAGAATGAAGGTAGTCTAGAATACTTGTTCTTGATTAAAAATGGTTTTGCATGTGAAGACAGATTTTGAAGCTAGTTGATTAAGATTTCAGTCTTGGCCCTACCTTCTGTTACCTATCTGTAGCCCCACCTAAATCTTATTTCCCTCAGCTATAAAACAGGAATACTGACTGCATCCAAAATGGCTATGAAAATATTAGACTGAGGAAAAGCTATCAAAAATAGAAGGTTTCTGTTTTACAATTTGGCTTCTAACCAGACGCGATGTGAAATCATCTTTGAGGCTTTGCCCATTCCCTCAGGTTCTCTAAGGGCACTTACAAAGATCTTTGACACAGGCATACTGCTGGTTGCTGTAGAGTGGGGAGCTATAGGCCCGATGGAAACCAGGTGGCTGTAGGATGGGATAGGCAGAAGGATTAGAGGTATCATGGTAGGGTCCAGCACTCTCTTCATGTATAAGTGATACCCCATTCTGAGTAAGAGGGACTGGGTGAGAAAGAGCAGGGAAATGTACAAGGAAATGTACAGGATCACCTGAGGGATAGGCAAGGGGGCAGCCAGCAACACATGCCCTCCCATCTATTTTCTCGCTCCCACAGGCTACTCACGATCTTGCCGAAGCATCTCTGCATCTCCACATAGGACTGACAGTGTTCATGGATGTTGGTTTTGCAGTTCTTACAGCGGAGCCCAAATTTGTTATTGACTTGGGAGGGGAGAATATTTGGGTAAGGTTCTGACATGCCCTTTGCACCACTGTGGATACACTAGCTCTGAGCTTCCCTTTCCCAGGACTATCCACTCTCAATAGTGGATAGTATTTCTGTAAGCTGAATCTTGCTCATATGTCTCTTACAAATATTCTTCTCCTAAACCCATCTATGTCCCTTGCCCTGCTGCTTCAACATCATACTCTCCACTTCCCTTTATGACTCACGCACAATCATCCGGGCACAGACATCACAGAACTTTGGTTTCTTGAAGAAATGATCTTTGAATTTGTGGGGCTTGTCATTGACAAGCTTAGGAGGTTCTGGGGGTGGCTCCTCCTCCTCCTCCTCCTCTTCTTCTTCTTCCTCATAGATATAGTAGATGGGCCCACCCCCAGGTCCTACTGCCTCACCGTTGGCCTGGGGCTCTGGGGAAAGTTCCATCTCTTTTGTTTCTGGAGAACCCTTCCTGAATAACTGCTTCAGTCGCTGTAGCTGAGGGAGGGAGGAAGGGAATTCAGTGTTAGAAGGACTGTCGCCATTCCAAAAGTAGGTAGAGTTAAAGCTAACATATTTTTATAGTTGGAGCAAGCAATGTGCCCCAGGATTAGGGAACTAGGTGCTGCAGGTGCTAGCTAATAAACAGTAAATGAGACAAACAGAAGTGGAACAATTCATGCACTTCTCTTAGAATCCTTAGTCTTCTCTCCGTGCACCCTGTTGTCAGAGGCCCAGACTCACCCCACTTTGTGGAATCTCTGCTGGCAGGGAGGGCTTAGGAGATTCCAGAATTTTCTTTTCTGTCATCCTGTAAGGGGTTGGACTCTACTGTAAAATCTAATCCCTGATTACCATTCTTCCTTCCCCTTTTCTGGTCCCTTTATATGGTGGTCTTTTGAAGAACGACTATGGAAGAAATTTGGTTACAGTGAGATCCTTTGGTAGGTAAAGCTATGCACGGTTCTACCACTCCATGGATTCCATGGAGGTCCAGAAGAGAGCCCAGGAGACTGATACCCCTGCTCCTGTCCCCAGGGGCAGCCCTAACAGTGACCTTCAAGATGTCCAGTTTAGGGATTTTTCTATAGGTACTCACAGGTAATAAAAACATGACGCAAACCTTACCGTGGCCCCTATTCTGGAGGTTTTTATGTATCTTTGAGAGCAGGCATGAATACTTTGCTCTTCTTACTTTCCTGTGGCCCAGAGGTCTGTGCCTAGTTCTGTCCCATCCTGCCTCAGGCCTCAGCTATTTTCAGAGTAATACGAGCCTTTCCTCTTACTATTCTGTTCCCTAGACCCCACCCCCACCTCAACCTCCCATGCTAGCTTATCCAGGAATATTAAAAACAATTTTACTTCTAAAACCCAAACTACTCACAGACAAGGAGTGAAATGAAGAATCTGAAGAGACTACAGATTAAGAAAACTGGGGTGCAGTCCTGGAAATGCAAAGAGGATGAAGAAGCAACTTACTTTGGGGATTCCCTAAGTCAGTCCACAGTCTGTGCAAGGAGGGCGTGAGACTGGTTTTCTTCCTTGGGGGCCAAGCCCCCCCCCCAGTACCCTTCGTACTCACACCAGCTACCTAGACGGTATTTGTAGGCCTCTTAGCCTCTCAGCTTGGTGTCAGAGCTGAAATGACAGGGCTGGAGGAAAGTGGACAGCTGAACAGCACAGCTGACACGGAGAAATTGGACACGGTGAGATCTAGGGCAGGGCTAGACCCTAACTCCTCCCATGCCCTAGAGCTGCTCTTCTTTGATTGTTCATCTATGATGAGCACTAGATAGTCAGGAAGGAACAGTTTCTGTTCATGCTACATACTCATTTGGGGGGAGTTTATTTATTTTGGTGGAACCAGGGATTGAACTCAGACCCTTGTGCTTGCCAGGGAAGTGCTTATTCTACTGAGCCATCTCCCTAGCCTGAAGGGAGTTTAGGTAAAGTCAAGAGGAATCAAGCAGATTTGCCCATGCCCTTTCCCCAAGGTTCAAACACCTCCTTAATTCTATTTTCTCTACGCCCATTTTAGGGTCTAGACTTACTTTCTCAGCCACTGCTTTTTAGTGGTCCTGTGTTTATAGATCTATCCTCAAGCATTGATCTAGCTTCAAGCCTTTAGGCTAAGAAAAAGCTGAAAATTACTAAGAAGGTCATTTGAGTTTTCTGGGCCCTCCTAACAGCCACACTAGATTGTTTTCTTGTCTGTAGGTAGTCAGAAGGGTATGTGCTATCCTGTAAGGAAATGGAGAATTTGTAATACTGTTTTGTGTTTTTGTTTTTGTTTTTGTTTTTTTTTGGTGGAACCGGGGATTGAACTCAGGCCCTTGTGCTTGCCAGGGAAGTGCATATTCCACTGAGCCATCTCCCTGGCCCCCAGCCATCTCCCTGGCCCCCTGCTTTGTTCTTTATATACCTCCCACCATCTCACCCTGTTCCTCTAAAACCTTGTTCACAGATGAAGGGAACTGTAAGAGCTACTAAAAAGATAAGCTAGGACTCCCATCTGAGGGGCCCAAAGATTGAGTGTTTAGTTTAGCCATCAGGTAGATGCTCTGGTTAACCAGGGACCAAAGACAGCTTCCTTCAACAAGGAGTTTGTTATCCATAAACAATGTCCTATTCCCCATAAATAGTGCAAACTCCCCCCACCCTCTTTGTGGTACTAAGAATTGAAACTAAGGACTTTGTAATCTTTTATTTATTTGGTACAGGGTCTCACTATGCAGCTCAGACTTGTAGTGATCCTCCTGTTTCAGCCTCCCTAGCTCTGAGATTACAGGCATGCGCCACCATGCCTGGTTTTGGGGGCCCACTCAGCATGAGGCAGCATGGTATATGGTATTGGGGATGGGACCTGGGTCCTTGCACTTGCCAGACAGGTTCTCAGACTGCTGAGCTATCTTCCCAGCCCTGAGGTAAGGACTTCACATTGAACTAAATCTCCCTTTTTTATTGAGACAAATTCTCATTAGTTGCTAATTGGCCAGCTGAGCTTGTATTTGTGATCCTCATGTGTCAGCCTTCCAGAGTGCTGAGGTTACAAGCATGTGCCACTATATCTATCAAGAGAACTGCAGGACGTGCTGACGCGCGGGCTCGATCCCAGGCCCGATTCCGCGCCCGCCATGGCCGACAAAATGGATATGTCTTTG